TGATGGTACCATTAACAACCTTGGGAAAACAGAAATTTGTATAACAAAATATTTTACAGAAATATGCACACCTTCAGTGAGGTGGTAGTTCCAGCTAGGACTTTATCTTCCTACCCTAGTGGTCTTCATCAACTCTACCTCCAATCCCCGGCCACATCAACAAACATAAAAGCTGTAGAAAAAATATGATTTGCCTACACAGGTCAGCTTTAATACAGTGCTCCAACTTTAATACAGTGCCTTTTATCAGCCTCTTGAGTACAAAGACCCCTGGGGCTACAATACACTATTTTTCAGGTCAGATTAATCCAATAATGCAGTCTTTTCTTCATACACACAAATGGAAGGTGGAAGCCACTTGATGTAGTGCTTCACATGATATTAGGGTCAATAAAGCAGGAAAGAACAAATAATTTTGACCTCCCCAGACAGGTCTCCTTTACTTCCTAGGATCTAGCCACAGTGCCCTTCCTTGTCTTCATCCAACTATCCATGGGCTATCTTAAGGCCCTTGCATACACCATTTTGTCCCTTGGAATTGTGAAATACGCTACTCTATCTCTTTATTACATCATAGCTAGATTCTTCTTGTTCTTTGAATCTCCTTCCCTGACACTTTTTTAAAGAACTGTGCTGTTTCACTTCCTTTATCATATCACCCTATCAATTTTCTTTGGAAATGGTTTGGATCTGGAATGTCCACCACATATCCATGGATTTTTTTTTCCAGATGTGCTGGGGATTGAACCTGGGGTCTTGCACATGCGAGGTAAGTGCTCTACCCCTGAGCTATGTCCACAGCCCAGTGGCCCATATATTTTAAAATCTTGGTCCTCTTCCTGGTGCTATGGAAGGTAGTAAAACTTTGGAAGAGTGTGGCCTCATCGGAAGTTTTAGGTTATTAGAGACGTAACCGTGAGTGGGATCATGAGACCTCGGTATCTTTCTGTCCATGTTGCCTGGTCACTAGGAAGTAAACAACTTTTCTCCATCACTTGTTCCCCTCACCATGATCCACCATACCACAGATCCAGAGCAGTAGGGTTGACTAATCATGGGTTTAAACAGCCAAATCCATAAGTAAAATAAACCTTTTCTGTCTTCTATAAGCTGATTATCATAGGTATTCTTTACAGTAGTGAAAGCTGACCAGTACACCCTCTCAATATTTCATAACTTGTGATTATATATTACTTTTCGTGCTCTATTGTTTCATATATGTAGCCCATGTAAGACTTTATGAAAATAGCAGTGATTCTTACTTTGTCTTCACTGTAACATTTATGATACTACTACCTGCACCTAAAAATTAGTAAGTATTCATTGAATGAATGAGAGGTAAAGGAAGGGCAGATAAGAAGGGGATAATATTTAAAAGAATTTTAATGATTAACTAACAGAAGAAGGCATTATTTGAGGGTGAGGGGATTTCCTATTGTTTCTGAAATTAGACCACATAAGTAGCAATTTTCCTTAAAAGTAATCCTGTGTAATTTTGGGAAAATAGAATTGCCAAAACTGCACTGGTATATCACCTCAGATAATACACCATTAATATTGACAAGTACATTAACCCTCAGATCTCAGTGGGACAATCAGTTTTCTCTTCCATAGACTGTTTGACCACTGTTACTGCCTTCTGCATAGTGACTTGGGGGTTCCAGTGCTTTTCTTTCTGTCTCCACCATTCTCTTAGGACACCATGGGATCCTTCAGTGGATTATTTTTTTCTCCAGCCAACAGGCACAGAGAGAGAGAGAGAGAGCTTAGGTGAATACATTAGAACTTAAAAGACCAAGCATGCAAGTGATATGCACCACTTCTGCACCCACTCAACTGGTAGAGTGGTCAACGGTCCCAAACTAACTGCAAGGGAGACTGTGAAATGCAGATGTTTGTATACCCAAAGGAGAAACTGTTTCTGTGAGCCTCAGCCCAGCCTCACACACAACAGGAGATTTCATGTGGTTGTTGTGAGCGCTAGAGAGTTACACATGGAAACACTCATAGCAGTGCCCTGCCCACCATATTCAGGGCCATCCACATTTCCAGTTATGTTGCAAGTGGAGTTTCTCTGAGTTTGCCCTAATTGCTGCTTGCAAACAAGTCTGGTGTTCTGAAGCCTCTGTCAAACCCAGCACTTGGCTGGGGGAGTATAGTGAGCCCCTGTGTCTGTGGAGGCCAGCCAAGGATGCAGAAGTCACCCCCAAGTCTCTGGGCCACATCCTCATACTTTGTTTAATTTGGTTCCCTGGGTGGGACAAGTTTTATGAGCAGGTGTTCCGGTTAATTAGGTGATTAATACTCTTCAAATTGGAGAGCCATTTCCAAAGTGACAGTTCTTGTTTTGCTCAGATATGAGACAGATCTTAGGATTTGGAGAGGCCTGCGATGGCATTCATCTATCTGCCAGGCCTCTCAGGTTGGCAGTGTGGTTCTGAGGGCCTGGAGTCTGATCCCACATGTATCTGAGGTGCATCTTGATGGACCAGTTTAGGAAAACAAGAGCTCCCCAGATCATCTGATGCCCCTCACACTGGGGCAAAGTTGATTTGGGGGCACACTTCTGGTTGTTTCTGGGTATTTTAACCTATATGACTCCTCAAGGTCAGAGCCAGCACTCCTGCACAGAGCCTGCAGTTTCTAAAATAAGATGACCAAACCACAACCAATGACAAATCAGAGGTCAAAATTCTTGATCTCATACTAGCTCTTAGGCTAACAGAAATGTGCCCCAAACTTCTCTTCTATCCATTTTCCCAAAGCTCTTTTGCTACTCCGTATGTGGTTCTGTTTCTACATTTTTGCCTTTGTTTCCCTCAAGGCCAAGATCCTTTTCCCTCTCATTTATCCCATCAAATCTCTGCATCCTTAAAAATCCAGAATTCATTTCTTAGCCTTTTCAATCCAGCTGGAAGTGATTTCTCTTCTGAATTTCTGTAACATTTACGTATCTGACCTATGTCAATTAGCATTTAATTACATATCATGCCAGTCTTGTGTCTTCTTTCATGTAACTTTTATCTTCCCAATTGTATTGTCTTTGCCTTCTGGGACAGACTTGTTTCATTGCTACATAGGCTGGCTGCTACTTAGGCTGACTTTAAGGAAATGGGTTCAACTCATTTCCAGGACTTCTTTTTCAGCCAGCATCTCTGAACCTTTCTAAACGCTTCCCACAAGGCAGTTCCAAAGACTTCTGAACCACATGGTCAGGAGCAATCACAACAATGACCCCACTTCTCTGATACCAAATTCTTTGTTACTTTTCTTGTGCTGAGACAAAAATACCCAACACCCAAAGTTAAAGGAGAAAAGGTTTATTTGGGCTCACAGTGTGTAGAGGTTTCCGTGCATAGTTGGACTCCAAGGCAGGGTGGCATGGCAGAGGGGAATCATGTAAGAGGAAATAGTCCATGGCAAAGCAAGGCAGGCAGAACATAGGCAGCAATGAAGTAGCAGCCAGCAAGCAACAATAGCAGCTTCTTTCTGTCTCTTTTATGTTCTATCTAAGCTACCTGGCTTGGGCAGGTGCCAGACTAATCAGTGGACTAACTTAGCAACCACACATCCCTAATCATAGCACCCTTAATCCTAGCAGTGCACCATGAAACAAAACACACTGCAGATCCAGCCACCTCTGAAAAAGCCCTACCTAGGACTGCATCAGGCTTTGGGGTGACATCTAGGCATGGGCTATGACAAAGAGCAAGGAGAGGCACGGTTAAAGAAATCACAGGGATGGGAACTGCTTGAAGTTTTATAACTGAAAACTATGCCCCCACCCTATGAACTATGACATCCAACTGGGAAGGCAGCCACTGCCAAACTGCAGACCACATGCAGGCAGCCCAGACCTCTACTCTAGGTCCCTGAGCACCCTCCTGATCTGGTCAGACCCAAGGGGATGCAGATGATGTGGTCTGTAGGGGTCAGCTTTCCGGGGAACAGAAGTGCCCTGACAGTGGGCAGAGAGTGGATCTAGAGAATTCATCAGAGAATGACCAGCACAAATGATTAGCTTGATGTAAGTATATCAGAGTGGAGAGTTGGGAGTATGTATATAGTTTGAAAAAACATTCTGGAAGAATTTAACCTTCCCCTTCCAGAAAAGATTAAATAACACTGATCACAGTAAGTAAGCCTGTGACAGGAGAATGTTAAATAAGCTAGCTGATTGGGAAGATCCTTCACACATTTGTTCACTCATCAGTCATCAAAGGGTTCTTTGCACGTATAGGCATCAAGCATGCAAAAAATGGGGTTGGCTTCTCTTTACATTTGAAATTTTTTTATAATAAAATGTTGTAAGAAACAGGTCATAGAGGGTCACTGTCCTCAAGAATCTAATAGTCTGGACTAGCAAGGATTCCTAGAGGAACTGACAGATAAACCGGACCAAGGGGAGAATCCTAAGATAGGTGGGTAGAAAAAAGATTTCCTGGAAGACCTATTGAGTGAGGTGAAAGACTGCTGGGAAATGAACTGGTAGAGGCCAAAATATCTAAAGTTCAAGTATGACCAGATATGTATTTTTACAAGATCCCTAAATTATTAACACAAAGGGTGCAGTGGTAGAGAAAAAAAAAACACTAAGAAATGAAGTTGAAGAAGTATACATGGAGAGGAAGGTAAGCAACAGTCATTTGTTTCATCCACAGCCCAGGGGTCCTCGGTGTAGAGGAGTAGGTTGCAAAAAGATTGAAGAAAATATAGAGATAGCCTTTGAGAATTAAGGTTTATTAAGATATTAACAGAAACATAAAGGTTTTTTTCATATAGGTTTTATTGAGACAGTGGCAGAAAATGACAGAGTTCAGGGTTAACAGGCTGGACAGGACAGTTGCATGAAAGTACTTCTATCCAGTGGCAGTGGGCTGGACTATCTAATGTCACAAGGTCCTAAAGCTAGCCAGACAGGGAAAGGCCAGAGAGAGCTCCAAGTGTCCAGTGACAGAAGGTTGGACTGCTCTGCTATGTTATTGCAGGGAGGGGGGTTAACAGAGTAAACTGGGCAGAGTTTCCATTAGGAGCTTGCCTTGCTCTGTCTATGACCAGCAGTCTAAGGAACGGCTGAGTTAGCATATAGGCAGGAAGGCAGTTTCACAGATAACACTAATTTGCTCGATTACCAGTGTCTCCCAGATAATACTTACCTGAACATTCTCAGGATGAATGAGCAGGACTCAGGGACTGAATGGCTGTGCTACTTGAAAGAGAAGAGATGCTTTCCTGTTTTGCCTTCTCAACACCCCAGCCACCTTTTCAGGTAACACCCCATGGCTAGCCCACCTGCCACTTTCCTTTGAAAACAGTGCCCCACCTGCCTGAGTGAATGTAGTTTCCAGGGAACTTCCACCCATAGTTCTTTTCTTCCCTGGTCAAAAGAGCGTGGTCAAGTGACCAAGCCAGGCTGACCACTTGGACCTCCCTGGGAAATCTTGGAACTGGCACCTAGATCTTGTCTTTGGTCTAATCTTTTTTGAAGTCCCTCTCTTCACCTTTTCCCTGTAGACTCTGTATGTTACTCAAGTTCTTTTTCAAAAGACTTTTTTTTTTTTTGCTTCAGTAAGCTACAATTATTTTCTACTGTTTGCTACCAGAAAACTTCAACTAATTACCATGCCCAGACGAACAGCAGCATTTCATACAAGAGACAGAGTAGAAAGTTTGAGGTGGGTTTTCTTAGAGAGGATAGTTTGCTTTTGAAGAGCCTATGGAAAAGGAAAGGAGAAAATCTAAACGTTGGCTGAGGAGACTTTTGTGGAACTCTGAAAATCACGCCACAGAGTAAAAAAGTTATCTTTGGCACACAGACATAGAAAGTCCTACCCAGCAGTGTGACCTCCTAAGGACTTAACCAGACTTCTCCAGGGAGGCTTAATTCTTCCATGAGGAGGCTGACACGTTCTGAAGATGCCCCCAAATCAGACAAGGGAGTGGACCAAGCCTCATTTCCAAGCACTGTGAGTTCTGGACCCTGGCTCTGGGTTTCTCACCAATTTGCTGCGTGACTTTGTGCAAATGCCCACCTTGCTCTGAAGTTGCATTTTGTTAATAAAATATAAAGTTTGAATCATATTTGAGTTTCTCAAAGTATGTTCCAAGAGAATTTTTAGTTAACATAAAAAAGAGTCAGATACACTGGGAAACTGGATTCCACAAACCTTAACCAGGGTTTCTTATAGCAGGATGTCTCAGGGCCTTAAATATGTTCATTTAGGGTACAAATTTCCAAAATAGGGCAAAGTGACCTGCACTTTGTTCTTTTCCCAGGGAAACTTTTACCACCCGCCACTCTGAAATATGTGGAACCAGGAGTCATCAGAAGGCACTTGTAGCAGCGTTGGATTAGGTGGCTTCTGAGGCTGCCCAAATGGCGGGTGGCTTCTGCCTAGCCAAGGTACCCTGCACACTCCTCTCCACTGTATTCACCCCTTCCTTACGATGATGGACTCTGTGATCTGTGTGCAGGGGCTTCACCTAGGAAACAGCACATTGAATGCTTATGAAGTCACTTAAAGGTCTACTCAGTCTCATGAAGAGATCCTACAGCTTAAATGAAAAACATGGTCCCTCACTGTGCTCAGAGCACAGATCCAGGCCCAGCAGAGAGAGGGAGAGAGAGATTGCAAAACATACTCTAGCTTGCATTCATTTGGGAAAACAAAGAAAACTCCACTCTTTTCTGCTCCCGACAGTCTGAGATGCTTTTGTTCCCTTGGGCCCTTGCTCCGTTCTCTCATCTGCATCAGTCAGTCCTGGTACGAAATTGGTTCAAGGCTTGGAGAAAAGCTTCAGAGGACAGAGGGAAAAGAATGTTTAGAGTTCTTACGTGCTGAAGTCACCCTGAGGACCAGAGCCTAGTCCCACTTCGGCCACCAGAGGGCGATGACAACAGCATCTGGGCAGAGAGTTGTTCCCAAAAATAACAGCAATAAACTGCGCCTAATGTGTTTAAGAAGGTTTCAGGGGCTGGGGTGTGAGAATGTGCGTGCATGTGTGTATGTATATGTGGGGCCTGAAGCTATGACTCTGAAAATCTGCTAAGTACAATAAAATAAAATCTGCACTTCTACTGTATAGTTACAGGACCTAGTCAAATAGTTGAAAGTTTCTTGAAGGAAAATGAGGACGAAGGATTCAGAATAGCATTCACAGAAAAGGAAAAGGAAGGTGTTCTCAGGAGCATAGTTGTGTGTGTGTGCACATGTGTATATGTGATTGTGTCCACACGTGTGTGCGAAAGTGTGTATGAAAGTGTGTGGACGCCTCTGTGTGCAGGGCTCGTTCAGACTTTCCTGGTGTGAGCAGATCTCAAGAAAGTCTGGGTAATACTTCCTCCAGTTTCTGCCCTTGCCTTTCAAACAAACAAACACATTCCTACGAGTATTTATGGAGCCTCTGATGCACCCCTCCCCACCAGCATCTGGAAAAGCTCAGACCCGGCCAACTCAGAGCTGGCGGTACCGGAGAACGCGGGGAAGTGGGAGGGAGAAAGGATGGATGCCTCTTGACAGTGACTGGCAGGACACTTTCGCTCCTTTGATGCTCCAGGCAACTCGGGGAGGTGGGTCCAGAAAGAGGGGTTGTCCCTCGATTTGAAGAACCAAAGGCTGTCTCCGAGGTGACAAGACTCACCAAGCAGGAAGCAGATATTTAAGGACTCTGACACGGTGTTGCCTATGCATGGCCAGGTCCTGGCTGTCACTACTCTCCCCAGCACCCTGGGCACTGGTCTGGGCAAAGCAGGCCAGCAGTGACCTCGTCAACAACACGCACGATTTTTAGTGACGTGTGACTGTGGAGTGCAGTGGTGGCAATAAGTTCTCGGGAGCAGTTGTGGGTCACTGCCACGTCTACTAGACAGGGCAGAGGCGCAGCCTCCGTGGATCGGAATGCTGGAGTTTAGTAGCTGTGTGAGTTCTGGAAGTCACTTTACTTCTCCGAAGTTTGGGTTTTTAATAAGGGTTGTTCAGACACTCTTCTGGGACCCTGTTGGGAATGTCCAATCTAGTGTTAAAAAAAAAAAAAAGTGTCACAAGCTCTGTAAGCTTGGCTCCTAGAACACAGCGAGTTTCAATCTCCTTCCCGGGCCCTGCTGGGGACCCCTTTCCTTCCCTGGTTCCGTCCCTCTAGTTCCTCTGCTGCCTCCTCCCTCCTGGCTCTCGGTCGCTCCAGCAAAGTTCCCAACTTAGTCTACATGACGCTTGGCGCAGCCAATGGGAGGCGGAGCTGGCGTTTTTGGGGGCCGGGAGGGGTGGGCCCCGCGTGTCGGGTGTCTGCCCAGCACAGTGAATGGAGAGAGCGAGCGCCGGCCAGCTCACCCGGCCGTCCCGAG